TGAGTAGAAATTGGTATCAGGAGAAACAAACTTGAGAGGAAAGCGCTTTGAGAAACAGAGGTTCTATTTTGTAGAGACACTGGCACTCGTATTGGTATTGAAGAACCGTATTATTGGTATAGCCTACACATCATTTGGGTGAGGATCAGGGCCTGAGCAGAAAGCATATATAGACCAATCACAAGGACTTTTAGCAGGAAAGTGGAGGGAGCGGGGAGGAATGAAGATGAAGAAATAATATAGCTAACAATTGGAAAACAAGCAGCGGTCAGGAATTGTGATTTTGGCACTGTGTCTGAAGGGAAAACTAAAGGATGTAAAGTATTTAAATTAGGACAGGGAAATAGGAAACCATCCAGGAGTACAGGTTAGAATATATGGCCCAAATAACCATTCATTCCACTAAAATGGAAAATGGTAAGGAACAGATCGAATTTATCCAGTCATGAATTAATCATAATTAATATGATGTGATAGCCATTTAATGTGACATGACTACAAGACAGTTGGAACTGGGAACTACATATGCCGTACTACAAGATTTAGAGGAAAGATAAAGGACAGAGTGGAAAGGGAGAGATAAACTTGATAATGAAGGATACAATCACTTCAATAATCAAAGAATATTTAACAATTGGTAAACAGGCAGGACACACTTTATTACAATCAAAAATTGAAATTGATTTAAGACTTCAGTTGAAATTGTCTATGGGGCCTTTGGTGGGCACTGTGAAGTGGTAGCTTGTATTATAATATAGAGGTTAGACTCATATTGAGGAAAGGCAGAATGGTTTTTCTGTTGGATTGGGTTCAGCACACTTGGACGTCAGCAAGGTAATGAACTTCTTGACTGGCTTAGTTTTCTGCAACGTATCATCAACTACAAATTGGCATTACATATTAGATTTGGCAATAAGTACTGCGCTAGATTTAATTGACTAACCAAAAGTGTGTGAGAATCGCTGTAACAGCAATCACAACACAATGTTTGAAATGGAGAATTGTGAAACAGCAATTAAGATTCTAGATGTAAGTAAGACTGTCTTCAATATGATCAGATTATTATGATCTGCATGGAGACTGAGAACTGGAGGTTCAAATTCCTTTTTAAAAGTTAAGCCTTGATAAAGTGACACCTCAGGGTTTAAAGTTGTAAGATGGTTTACTGTAACAAATGACTAAAAGCACTGTTGAATAAATACTATTTTGTGGATAACCAGTACCTGAAATTAGAGAATGGAATAACCCTTCTTACTTTAGCCACGAACAAAAAAAAAATGTATATGGTACAGTATCTTTAATTCTCACAGCATCAGTCCAAAATGATTCTGAGCTTCTGGAGATTTATTCGTATTCATTTCTTTTCAGCCCCAGAGCTGTCATTCATTTGATATCCTCCCTCTAGCACAGGCTGGGTGAATCCAACTTCATTTTAGCTTCTTTTGACTCTGGTCTTTTCAATCCAGATACAAACTGCAATCTGCATTCTGGTGTGCTGAGCTAAAACATTTTGCTTTTAGCTGCTCTGTATCTTTCTTGGACCCTGGCAAACTGTCTGTCATATTCAGTGATGTTTTAGAAAAGTATGTAACCTCATGTTACATGGCTTCTTCAGTACCCATCCTATCTCGAAACCTGTCAACATGGCAGCATGATTCACTTGAGCTTTGTATCCAGGCAGTGATGCTGATTAGTTGTCCGTGATGATCCAACTCTCTTTTAGGTTTGGAAGTAAATGGACAGCTTAACATACAACTTGTATCTTGTACCTTCATCCCAGTAAGACAACCTACATTCCCTTGATTATCTATAAATTGAACTACCCAGGGTCACTGTCAGGCAGACTACAGAACAGATCACATGACATTCTTAATTTCAGCTTGAATAAAGACACAGTCCCAGCTTCCACACCTTTGCCCCTGGCCCTTCGCCATCAAGGCTAGGTTAAACTTTGCGCTCCCACCAGCAGCTGAGACATCTAGTCCTGTTTCCACCTGACTAGAAAACAGACTCGTAAGTCAGACTGGCATCTGTGTGGGAGACCTGGCAAAAAAAAACAAATTGGAGAATCCGAGTGTCCCATTCAAAACTGTGTTGACAAGGCTATGCTGTGTGCACTGTCAAGATCAGGAACATAATCTCTGGGGCTATGCTACTTTTTATTTCAGTTCCATCTTGACCTTTGATTGCATCTCAACCGCTCTTGTCACATTGACTCCATCAACCTAGAATTCTTTTGTTTTATTAGAAAATCTCCCATTTTCTTGTGGAATGTGGACGTCACTGACTAGATCAGCATTTGTTGCCCATTTATAACTAATTTAGAATTTATTTTTTCTTTGTATCCTCCTGTTGTGTAAACACTGAGGTTGCTGTATTTATTGAGTATTAATGAACAGTCACGTTGGGCAGGATTGAAAAACAACATCTTGTGTGACCCTGCAGGTTCCCTGCCTGAATAGTTTGGTTAAAGCAACCTCCAAAATCCCTGGATATCTATAAAAATTCATTTGAAAAGCTGCAGTGCGACAATTGATCATGACATCAATGAATAAGTGGACGACTGTTATTCAGATTTGTTTTTGATGTAGATTTACTGCGCTGCTTCCTGTTTGGCTGAGGAATACTGGTCACCTTTTATGAGTTGACTCAATGCCCTCAAATCCAGTACTACTTAGCCGCAGGTACTGATTTAAAGACAAACACAATTTAGCACTTAAATGAGGAGAAGGCATAACTAATCTCATTAGTAACTGAAGTGTGAGCAACTGACTTTGTTGATAGATATGGTCATATTCTTAATAATGGAATCGAAGCAAGTTGAGAATTCTAAAAGGGTCTAGGCCCGAAACATCAGCTTTCCTGCTCCTCTGATGCTGCTTGGCCTGCTGTGTTCATCCAGCTCTACACCTTGTTATCTGAGAATTCTAACGGCCTTTTTGTGCTATCCCACGTTTTTTTTGAGGGATTTGGATGCTGTGGGCTTGATTTTCTTTTGTGCTGTGTCAGATTTACATTTTCAGTTGAAAAAAATGTATTTCAGATGGAACTGCACTGTATGTACTGACTGCTGAAGTGGAATGGTTATGTGGTAGGGCTGGGGTATGCTTAAGACCATAGTATCATTATATGTGAGAGCAGAAGGAGGCCATTTAGCCCTTCGAATCTGCAGTCCTATTCAACGGGGTTCTGTCTGATCTGACCACTTTCTTGCCTCTTCCTCATAACCCTTGATTCCCTCACTGATTAAATACCCACCTATCTCAGCCTTGAATATGCTTAATGACCCAGCCTCCGCAGCCATCTGTGGTAGAGAATTCCACAGATTCACTATCCTCTGAAAGAAAAAATTCTTCCTCATTTCTGCCTTAAGTAGGCACCCCATCCCAAAGTTCTGAGATTATGTCCTGGGGTCCTAGACACTTGCACAAAAGGGGAGGCAATGTCTTAGTGGTATTATTGCTGGACTATTAATCCAGACACCCAGATAACATTCTGGGGACCCGGGTTTGAATCCCGCCACAGCACATGGTGGAATTTGGATTCAAGAAAATATCCAGAATTAAGAATCTAATGATGACCATGAACCCATTGTCGATTATCGGAAAAACTCATTTGGTTCACTAATGTCCTTTAGGGAAGGAAACTGCCATCCTGACCCACAACAATGTTGTTGACTCTGAACTGCCTTCTGGGCAATTAGGGATGGATAATAAATGCTGTCAGCGAAGCCCTCGTCGTGTGAAAGAATAAAAAAAACTTCTCCATATCTACAAATGTATTGAGCATTACTTCTGGTGTGCTGGAGATCTGTGGCTTATTTAAAAGCTGGTAGCATTCTTGTACTTAACTGTAACTAGATCTGACACATTTATTGTTGATTTACTGGGATGCTACCTGGACTGGAGGGTTTGAGTTGTAAGGAAAGGTTGGATAAGCTGGGACTTGTTTCTCACTGGTGGTCTACAAAATCATGAGAGGCCTAGATAAGGTAGCAAGAGGACAGCTTTGTCCCATGATAAGGGAGTCTAACACTGGAGGGTATAGGTTTAAGGTGAGAGGGGAGAGATATGAAAGGGTCCAGAGGGACACTTTTTTCACGCAGAGGGTGGTGAGTCTCTGGAACAGCTAGCTACCAGAGGTAGTGGTGGAAGAGAGTACAATTTCCGTCATTTAAGAAACATTTAGACAGGTACATGGATGGGATAGGTATGGAGGGATCTGGACCAAACACAGGCAAATGGGACTAGATTAAATTGTGAAAACTGGGCGGCATGGGCTGTTTTCGTGCTGCAGACCTCTATGACTCCATTTGGCTTGTGTTGGATTTTTAATTGTAGAGATATTTCGAATTTTTCAATACATTGGAAATAATGCAGTAAAGTATTGTATTCGACCAATGTTTGGACTGCAGAATGCAAGATTTGAAAAGAAAATGTCATCAAAGGCCATAGGCCATGAGCCTACATTGATGAACTTTAAATTATTATTGCTGTCAGCATCTTTGCATGAAAGAGAATAAGCTGTTGTTTTGGAATGCAAAATTGCACCATGTGTCAACAGCATTGTTTAATGGGCACTGTAATTTTAATTCTGTAATTTAAATTCCTGCATTTAAGATAATTTACTTGAATGAAATGAATGCTTTGCAGATGGTTTTTATGAGATGCTAAAGACTTTTTTTCTCTTACTTCTGAAATGATTGCTTGTCATGTGATGCAGAAGTGGCTGGTTTTATAGTGGTATGTCACAAGATTAGCAATCCAGAAAAATCTATACCCTTGGGCTATTCGATTCAAAGTCTCACCTCCCCCATAATATGTCCGAACAGGTTGATTAAAAGTAATTATCCCCTATAAAGCATGTTTTTGTTGCAGGTGGGAGTGCATTCTCTTCTGAACCTTCCAGCAGTTTCTGCAAAAGCAGAGATTTGCCTGATGTTTAAGGATGGGAAAGTTGCAACATCTCATTGACCTTCTGTCTGTCTGCTCTTATTGTAGGGTATGTACATCAAGTCAACCTACGATGGCCTACATGTCATCACAGGAACTACAGAAAATGTAAGTTTTAACTTCAACCACTCAAGCATTGAAGAAATCCCAATATTTGATCATATTAATTTGAGTGAACAGCCATTGCTGGATGAAAGAGGAGTCAGTTCTGATGCTCTGAGAAGGTGATACCTGTTTGCTTTGGAATGATGTTTGCTTAAATCTCTGAACAATTTGTATAACATTCTGCAGTTTTTTGCCAGTCTCTCTAGGCGTGATCTCCCACAGTAGGCAGCAATAAATCTCTGCTGGGCAACTGTCAGATCCATTTACACAATTGGCGATTTAGTTACAAATGATGCACTGTTATTTTGTTTTGAGGCTGCCTTCTTCATTTTAACAAGCTGTGCATGCCGTTGCAGATGTTTTTGTCTGTAACCCAGTTCTGAATTCAGAATTCACAGCAGAGTGTATTAGCTTGAGGACTGTGGATATTTCCTCCCGCTACCCACACCCCCTCCTCCAGGCTCCAGGCTCCAGGCTCCAACCTCCACCAAGCTTTCAGAATGTGGGCACTTTCTCAACCCCTGCAGCAACAACCCATTGCTAATTCCCGTTGCTGGACTTTGGAAAATGTAATTAATCAAATGGAGGCAACTGGGAAAAGGAAACAACTCCTGTTTCTCACCAAGTCAAATTATGAAGAAGTTTTCCAACTCGAAACGTTGACTTCCCTAGTCCTCGGATGCTGTCTGGTCTGCTGTGCTTTTCCAGCTCCAACATTTTTTGACTGTACCTTCCAGCATCTGGAGTCCTTTCCGTCTCCTTATGTTGTAACACGCTTCTCCTCAGAAGGTTGCTGAAATATGAGAGTAAAATCCTGCTCTTTCAAAAAATTGTGCCAAAAATATAAAACATGTGTATAATTAGGCATTGGCAATGTCCTGTTTATGTTGCAAACTGTAGAGTGGACCGTTAAGTGGCCATCTTACCATCAATATTAGATTAAAGGGAGTCATGGAGATGGTGCAGACAATAGGGAGACAGAGCACTGACATCAAACCAGTGAGCTCTGAATAAAGAAGAGAAGAAAAGAAGACTGAGAGAGAACATGACGCAAATAAACACAATCTTAAAAACTCAGTTGATAAAAGTAAACCTGGACCATTGCATGAAAATGTTTGAACATGAGGTAAAATGGGTAGAGGGACGACTTATCAGAGTTGGCAACAAGAGCCCCTTTCTATAAAGAGCCATCATTGTTTAGAATGATCAGCTCGGAAGGGAAGGCAAGAATATTGGATTCACCACATTCAATGCCATATTGGAGAATGTGCTGGTTGTTTTGGTGTGCAGGAGATGAATTGGACCATACAGCCTTCCACAAGTTCATACTATGACGTAATTGAACCACTTAGACATGTTTGAATGATGCAAGCTTTACAAATGGAGCTGGTCTGTGTATAGGTGAAAGACGCAGCTCGCCCATTAGCAGTATCTGTTAAGACATTCAGCATGCAATGACTTACAACTTGTTAAGTTTAGCAAGTCATGAGCACGTTTTAAAAGAGGCTGCAGGTGAGTGATTTGTGCAGAATTGTTAAATGCTCCTTCGGTGCCATTTTTGACGTGAATAAATAATAATTTCCTAATGTGAAACATTGAATGAGTCATCCCATTTTGTTGAATCTTCAGTTAGTCGCTTTGCCCAGTTGAAGATGAGCACAGATTCCAAAGAATTCAAGGTTAATCTTCTGATCTTTGCTGCAAGCAAAGTGGGGAATTCTCAATAACTTATATTGCATGCAGATTTATCATAATTTCCACTTTTAATTAGTTTAATACCTTTCTGCAGGCTCTAGCTGATGTTTGAAATTAATTCATTGGTGTTTAACATGTCAAAGCAGTTCACATTAGCATTCTCCTCAACGATGTTATCGGTGTGTGATAGTGTGTGTAGGTGAACTTCCAAGTGCTCAGTCCTTGATACCACTGCATCATATGATGAAAGCAGAGTTGGCAACTGCACGACGAAATGATAAGATCCCAAGAAAAAAATAATTGCTGGCTTGTTAAGAGAGACTGTCTTCATTTCAAAATGTTCATGTCAGTTGCAGACCTCTCATCAGATGTAAATCTCCTGTCCTTTTCTGATATCAATTTTCAAAGCAGTAAGGAATACAGACGGCGCAAGAGATGGGGAGAAGCAGTGTAGGGCTGTTTCAAAATCGTGTGTGAAATCTGCTACTGAAACGTGCAGTATATCATAGTAGGTGATGGTTTGAAGTCTGCGCTCTTGCAGTACAATGAATGCTGAAATGCTTTGTGTTATATACACTAACCAGGGAAAGGCTGTCCTAATGCAGGTGGTGGGAAGTACATCATAAATCTGTTTCTGGAACACTGAATATAAAATTTTGCATGGCTTGCTGATCTTCCGTGAAAGGAGGTAATTCAGGAAAAAACACTAATCGGGAAAATGCTCAATGTGAGTTCAGTTGAACTTCAGACAGTTGAAAACACTAATTTATGTTAAAGCCATTATCAGCTTCTGCACACAAAAAAGTTACATCTAACTTAAAGAAAATGCTGTTGAATCTAACAGCACAGAAACATGCCATTTGGTCCAACATATCTCAGCTATTGTTTAACTCCATGCAAATCTTCTTCAACCTTCCTACTAGCACCTTTTGAAAGTCCATATGTACAAAATCCACTGCAATGCCTTTCTTACTATATCAACAAAAAAAACCCATCAAGTTAGTCAAACACAATTTACCTTCAACAAACCTCCCCTGCTCTGCGTATATGTTTTCATGCACCCAATATAATTGGTATTACTGCATATAATGCCAGTTGTATGCATTAGACTCAAGCCTTCAACAACCTGTGGAAACAAACTTGCAACTGATAAAATTGTTTACAGCCAGCCAGAGAGAGGGCTTTAATGTAGCCAGCTGGATCTGTAATTTCCAGAAGTAAAAAGACAGACTGCTGACCTGCTAAACCAGCTGAACTCCCAAAATGATATTATGTCTCCATATGGGCAATGGAAGATTAAACTGCATGTACAGCACAATATTGAGCAACTTTTCTTTTTAAACACTCAGTTCAGTTTTACATTAACATAGAGACACAGTCGGTTGTAACATAAGAAATGGTGGAGAGCAGATGGATGGGGCTCGTAAATTCCAAATCAGTATGCTGCTAATTGTCCATTATTGCATTCATCACAAAACTGCGTAAAATGGCAACATTTCTGTGGAACCTAAAAATATACTGCTTGTTAGTTCTTCACTGTGACAATCCCATCCATTTCATGTGGTTGGTATTCACATACTCACACTGGGATAGTGGAAGATGTCAAATCAATTGAGTATAGCTCAGGTTTATATGCCTTTAATGCCATCAAATTGTTATCTTGATGCATCTTAAACAGTAAATAAAATGAAGCTGTGCTTGTCATTTAGCAATTATCCTGTACAGCCACAGAACAAGAACAGACACTGCTGTTGGAACTGTACATAGGTTCACATTCGGGTTATCAAAACACAGAATTATTCTTCTTAAGTAAATAAACTGTGCATTTGAGTAAAAGAGGAACCCGTTGAAGCAGAAGAAATGGAGATTGTTGCGAGATACCAAGGAAGAGTGTGTTAGACTATAAGCATCTTGATGCACTTTCAAAAGAAAAGAAAGTTCTCCTGGTGTCCTGGCTTATACTTGTCCTTCATCAATGTTACTAAATCAATTGCTCTGGTCGTATTCACACTGCTGCTTGTGGGAGCTTGCCGTGTGTGAATTTGCTATCCAGTTACATTCATTACTATAGTGACTAAGCTTCAAAAATGCTTCACTGGCTGCAAAGTATTTTGGTTCTGCTGAGATTGTGAAAAGTATTTATAAGTCCATGTTTTTCCTCTGACTCTTGAGAATTGCAGAAATAAAAATGAGGTCTCCCTTAGAAGTGACATTAAGTAAATGTTTAGTAACATTATTATTAATGAGGTTAATGAACATTTCATTGTATATGTTGTGTACCCAGTTTTCTAAATGCGGACATTAAATATTTTACTTTGAATGGGCTAATGCCTATAATTTAAAATTAATACTGAAGGGAATTTCATATGATTGCTCCAATTTTTTACCAGAACAATAGTAATATAAAGTACACTCCAAAAAGCAACAACATGCCTCTTGCACATTCACTTAGTGAATCAATACTGTCGGTAGACATAGCAATAATGACTAGACATGAAAAATTAATCCTTCCATAAAGCTCCCTTATTTCCATAAGCTATTACTCCTGCTGGGACAAGCTTTGAATTAAAACAAATACAACATTCCCCGACCAGTTTCACATATTGCTGCAAGTTCTGCAATTAATGACACTGGTCTCTTCTCACGTTTTCCTAAAATTGGATGATTATTGTGCTGCCTCGTCACCTCGTCCTGCAATATTGTCTTCAGGACTCAACTTCTCACGACAAAATTAATTCCACCCAAACAAGAATTCACAGATAGAAATACATTCACACATTCTCGACTGCTTAAAGGATGAAAGTGTCCTCGCATCTCAATGATCAGAATTACTTAATTTCTCTATTAGTTGGAAATAAATAACACCTGAGCCAGTTTTTCTCTTGTTGTTTCAGCCTGTAGCTCAAATGGTGGCACTCTCAGTCACAGTGTGCTGTGTCTGAGTCCCACTCTCGGACTTGAGCAAATCTTTCTCAGCTGACTTTCCAGTGCAGTGCTGGGGAAGTGCTGCACTGTTGGAGGTGCTACTTCTTGGATGAGATGCTGAATTGAATCTCCAGTTGTTTGTTCCTGAATTCAGCTCTTTTGTCCTCACTACTTCATTCCCTTTCCTTTTTCCTCTCTTTTTGTCTGCTGGATTATGTCAAAGGTTTACAGTCTCCATCCTTAGCTGTCTGTGCAGGTTCTCACTTGCTTTCTCTTGTGAAGGCCCTTTAATAAGCTGAATGAGCATGGGGAATTTCTGGTATTGTTTGCTTCAGATTCAATTGTCATTTAGGTTCACATGTAAAAATGCAAAAGTCCACTAA